GCTCACTAGCTCACTAGCTCTCGACCCCAGACCCTCGAGTCGAACTCCTCTGAATCGAGGCGCTGGCCCAGCTGGCGGTGGGTGGGCATCCAGATCCAAATTCCAATGCGGAAATTATAGAACTTCCCATGACATATACCAGGACCTTCCCAAGTGACCTTTTACCTTGAGATCAAATAAATTCAAAGATCATATGATCAAATGGTCGGCAACGACTGATTCTGGCCTTGGGCGAATGCCTGGTTTCAACCCATTTCTGAATGCATCATGACAGGTGTGAAGTCCCAAACAATCCCGCGAAAGAGTTGGTTTTCCCCTGCTGTTCATCTATTCAGCTCTCCTGGCGTCTGAATCCAACGCAGCACACGATGTCTGTTTTGCTGGATGTCTGTTTTGGGACAGGAAGTCCATCAATATATGTTTGTTACTGTTGGGCTGGGGCTGCTGATTAGGTCTATACTCTACATGGCTCAAACACCAAATGTAGGTAAAACATGCACAAAAGAACCCGCGGATGTCTTCAAACAAAGTCCGGCCAGTGCATTTGGTGAAAGTCGCAAGTACATAGTACATACTGAAGTGATAGTTCGCCGGGCCAAATCCAGCTCAGCAACGATTAGCTGGGTAGTTTAGTAGAGGGTGTTGATCAATCATCTCTCTTCTGAAAATAGCAAGCCATGTGAAGCCTGCCCAGTGTCCGTCCCTTGGCAATAAGAGATTCGGCAAATCCAACCCCAACCCAACGTGAGTCTCTTCTTAAACGTATTTCGCATGCATACTCTTAGTGCGCAGGACATCCAAGAACTATACAGAAAAATGATGGATGAAGCTGGTTCCACAATGTGCCTACTTTGTGCCTACCTCACCCACCAAGCTTGGTCTTTCCGGATCTCTCAAGCTCAAACACACTTACTTTGAGCCAAATCCAGCTACACCCAGTCCAGACTCGGCACTCCCTACCTTCTCGACGGCCTTTGGTAGCACCCGAGACAGCAGGTTCTGAGCCTGCGCGGCGCTGGGGAAAACCGTCTGCGTCCGGAGGTCGCTCAGCGGCGGGCTACCACCGACCCATCTGTTTTTCGCTTCAGAATGGGGGTTCCTGGGAGGTTCTTGGGTCATGTGAGGCACCAAAAGACATATTACAATTATATATATATATGTTATACTATAATTATGTTAGATTGTATTATATTTTGTTATATTATATATTATACTATATATATATATATCTTGACATCCACTCGTTGGATGCATCATTGCGAGCTCCATGTTTTGCATCCAAAGTGATCCTCAGTAGGCTAATGCGCTTCATTTCTACACATGCCTACAGGACCAACCAACATGCTTCAACCAGAGCTTCACCGAATGCTGAGGCCTGCGACTGGGGTTCCCCCTATCTGATGCTGTGATTCTTTCCACAAACGACTCATGAACTTTGAAGGTCGGTTGTTTCGATGTACACTACTTGGAGAATGGATGGCGCTGATCCGGCACCATTGAATAGATGGCACTCTCAACGTAGAGTAGTACATCACATGTACATACCAGTTCCTTTCAGTGCTGAAGAATCATCTGCAACGCTACTTGGAGGCCAAGACGTCCCTAACCGGCCCCCAGATGCCGTGGAGCTCGGGTCCAGTGATCCGGCTGGCCCGGATGCCCGACCGGGGGGAGACGGGGAACGCGGAACGGAACGTTCCTCAGCAGGAACCCAGTTCATTTCCCCTCTCAGAATCCTTGGACCATGAACCAGAACACTCTAGGGCTTTTCTGACTTCCGGGCTCACAAACCCGCACCAAAGCCGATGTCGTTGCGTTGCGTCTCGGGCTAGTCTTTTTCGGGCCAGGTGGAACAAACGATGCCTCCATGCCCGGCTGCAAAGCTCCCTCTCCGAGTCGCTCCTTCTCTGAGTCGGTCACTCCCGAAGCGATGCGGCGGGAAGGAGTTCCCGCTCGGGCTCCGCACCTCGTTGTGAGAGGTCCCTCCTCACCGAAGCAGCGGCCAAATGCGTTGTCTCACAAATTCGGGGCAGAGGTCAAACTGGACATCTGTGATGCGAACGGTGAAGCGAACGGTGAAGGATTCCAGGTCAGTCAGAGGTGATGACAGCCATTTTCATTGCCACACACCACCAGGACTGTGTCCGGGCGTCCAGAGATGGTCTTAGGTATGTCAGTCGGATGCATCCAGCTATCGAACATCGGGGTGAGCCCAAGACTGAACCCAAAACGATGAGCCCAGTGATGGCCCAAACATGTTGTTTTGGGGGGATGTGAGCCGATGGTTTGGGGGTTGGATGTGAGCCGTCTCATCTCCAACTCTTCCCGCGACGCGCTACTTCGCGCGATGTTCAGAAACGCAGCTGCCAGGCCTGCCGCAGCTTCCAGCAACCTTGCGGAAAGGATGGCCAGGAGTGCATCTCTCCAAATCTTCCACGGGATCAGGATCACCTATGGATGGCCTGGGTTCATTCCAACACAGGGACCAGCGAAGTGAACAGCTGCTATGCTACAATAGTATGTTGTGTCATTTGGTGTTTTCTCAGGGAGTTGGGACATGAACCGATGCACAGCGAGAAACACTTCACTTGGAAAGTCATGCTGGTCTAGCTGGGTCATAAGCAACACCTAAAGCGCGCGCCTTGAGTCCACAACATACAATCTTATGAGCTCTTCCGCTGGAAATTTGGAAGGATCCCCCGTGATCTTCACATCTGAAGACAGGGGGAAAGAAAAGGTTTTGGACTGTGATGGGTCTGCCATGGTCTGTCCATTGAAGTGACTGCTAAAACATGAGTGCATCATCCAACGCCAGTCGACCCCCTTTCCAGACGGCTCCATCCGTTTCAACCCGCTGCCAAGACGGGCATCCCAACGCACCCGGGTCCGGCTGATGAAGCTGCTGGACCTGCCGGCGACGCCATGTTTGGGTGGTGGTGGACCTAGATATCCAGTTGAAAACTCGGCCGGGGAGGTCCTACAAAAAACACAACAGAGCTTGAAGAATCCTATAGATTGTCCTATAGACTATCCCAGTTCGGTACCCCAGTAAGGTCCTATAAGGTCACATAACCTCGCTTGGAACACATGAAACAACAACCGGTTTAGTCCTTTTCTGTCTGCCAATTTCAATTGGTATGGATCCACCAGGGACGGTTACCGTATGTCAAAGGTCCTGAGGTTCAGAAGGATGAGGAAATCCTGCGTGATGTGGTGGATGAGAGACTTCTGGAAGGGAGTCCTGCTGGCACTAAACTGTCCAGGCCATCTGGCCATCTGAGGGCCATGCAACTGTGTTTTTGCTCCATTCATACCTAAGTCACCCTACTTGTGAACAGGGGGCGAGCCTGAGAGCAAACAAGGAAGGGTGGCTTACATGATAAGGCAGTGTTTTCTTTGCAACCCGGGCCAGGTCTGTAGCGGAAAATCGGTATTTGGTCACTTTTGCGCACGTCCAAAGCCACAGCCATTGATCAAGACGCTTTCACTGGCCAGTTCAGGCAGGTTGTAATCAAGAAAAGTGTGTATATAATATATATATATATACACTCTCGTTATCAATTTGGTGGGGCAGGACATCAGGCCTGCGGGAAGGGCGTTGCTCCTTCAATGTGGCTCTCACAGTCCATGCTCATAGGAAGGCATGCCACCCGCAAATTCCACCCCCCGATAATCATAAAAAGTAGAGTTGTGCTGTTCAAGAATATGGCATAGACCATCCAAAAAGTACTGTGGGAGGAGGGGCAACGACAACATGCTTCGAGAGATTAAGGTGGACACCTGTGGCCTTTACCAGTAGGCGAACCTAGTAGCGATGCCCTTGTTACTAGTAGCTTCTTTCTACTAGTAGTAGTGCCCTAGCTACTAGTGCGTCCTTGCTACTAGTGGTATATAATGTATTGTATAATATTCTGCCTCCACCTATATCCTGGCCAACGATTGACACCTTATTTACAGTAGGCGACGTAGCCATGTGACTTCAAACATAGTAATAGTAGCCATGTGACCCCCGTTGATTTGGCCTTGTATGCCACATAAGCCGTGGCAAGATTTGGGCATCTGCCGTTTGACTTATCTTCTATCGCTAGTAAGCAGCAAGCTTTCTGCATTCACAGTGTGAAAGCTCAGCTAAGGGGTTGGAAGTGGGAAAGATGTTGACCAGACTTGTAATCACTTGGCATACGGTGCTTGACAAACGTTGACTCTTGTTCCTTCTGAACCACCATGGGCGCCCATCAGCCTGGCGCGAGAGAACAACTATATATTTCCAGGGAGTTTCCACTGTCAAACGGCTCGGTTCTTGTGCTGTTATATCGGCCAATGCAAGGGAACTTCAGGAAGTTTAAAAAAATGGTCTGATATTACGTACTAGTATGCGTTCGCAGGCCCATTTTTGTGACCCCCCTTCAAGCTGCTGTGCCTATGCTTTGCAACACAAAACTGATTAGTAAGTCAAACCTGGGGGATTCTGGTGGTCAAGCTTTTCAACCCTATCCTATGAGACAAGCGCTTTGGATATGGGAGGCTTTATGAAGCTGAAGCAGGCAGCAATTTCAAGCAGAAGAAAAAGCATATGTTCTGAGACACAAAGAAAAGTATACTTTTGGGGAGAGGTAGCATGTATGTATACATATCTATCAATCTATGTGTATATCATAAGATACTATCAACCTCAGCACATCCTCCAACTTGAACAGCAAGTGTAATGTCTAAGAGCTACAGCAAAACTCCTTTTCTTGCTACTTTGCTTAGGCTTACACACTTTACATTGGTACTTGATCCGGTCATGGACGCAGCCACTGCACCAACAACAAAATCTATTGATCTTGCCATGCGGACTTGGATTGCACTTTCTGCAGTTGCTCTTGTACTTGCCATGTGGACACGGATTGCACTTCTCACACATGTGCCGTATCTTGCCGTGTGGGAAAGGTTGGCAAATTCGGCAGAAGTCTCGTCTCCTTTGGTGTGGACACCGAATGCGCTTGTTCTAGGCCTCTTCATCCAACTTCTAGGTCTTCCAGGGTCCTTCTCTGAACTCGCAAAGGACATGCAAGACTTGACTCCTTGCAAGTGCCACTGCTTCTCGCAACCAATCTTGTGGTCTTCAGTGTCAAGCTCCTGAAACGTCTTGATCTGAGAAACCGCAAGGCCGGTTGAACTTTGGAATCATCTAAGTCCAAGCTTCCCAAACAAGTCAAGACGACTTTCCGGAGCCGAACTTGCACCTCTCTCCTAGGCCCTGCTGGTTGCGACCAGGAATCCATTGTGCAATAGCGTGGCGGAGACAACGCAGCCACTGCGCGCTGAAAAATGGAGCGGATCTGGCAAACGTGGTCAGTTCCTACTTCTTCAAGCGACTGCTCCAGCGAAGAAACATATGCCTCTTGCTCTGTCTCACAAGTCGTGTTCTCCAAAGATGTATAGCCTGATTCATAAGCCTCGCTGCTTTTGTAGCCTTGGCTTCTGGAACAAAATGCTGGAGATCCTGCAAGAGGCCTGGCCATTGCATCTCAAGCTGTGAATCTGAATTGATCCGATCAAATACCTTTGTCAGCATTCTTGTCGTTTCTTCACGCAGAGGCTTTGCCTGCTTGAAGGACTGAACATACTGCTGCAAAAGTGAAATGGCAAACAACCCGTCAAACTGTAGAGAACTCTGCTCTGCTGAAAGCTCGGGAAAAACCCACGCAGCTACATGAAATGCATAGGCTCCTGCAGCTCCTCGGAGTTTGCCACTTGACAACGCTGCATATATCGCTTCAAAACATTCTGAGGTTTCTTACCCTCAAAGCGAGCGTGATATGACAGCCTCTCATCAAAGGTTCTTAAAGGCATGGCAAACTCAAAACAAGCTCGGAACACATCACCCCAAAGGAAGGCATCTTTGCCGGGTAGTACCTGCACTCCACACGTTGCACAATCCTAAGACAGACTCTACTTCAAGGTATATGATGGTATATCTGCGTGCTATTTCTGCTTCCGGAGTAAGAAGGTACATGACCATGAATACCTCCAACATAACAAGTCGTCTGTTCATCAGTTGACAAAGAAGTTGAGGAACCAAACAAAGCTTCTGAGCCAGTGGGTCGAACAAGACATTCTAGATGTTCTAGAGACCTAGATGGGTTCGCCACCTGTGTTCTCATGCTTTCTGATCGGACAGGTGCAGAAACCATCGAACATCAGGCTTACGGTCTAGCGAACCCCTGGTTCAGAACCCCCTTGTTCGAACACGCACTGGATCCTCTTACGTCTTTCGCGCTGGCCCATGCCAAGCTGAATGGGGGTGGAGTGGTTGGGTCCCAAGCAGGGTGTTTTGAGAGATTTGGGTGTGGTTGGTGAATGTTGGTGATACATCTAAGTTCATTCATCGATCCTCCGACTGTACCCACGATTCTTCTTGAAGCGGGCCAATCCGATGACATGCACAACATGACATTAACATCCAACCATGTGGATCCCTTGTGATCCATCGCAAGAAAATTGAGCATCCATTGATACATACACATACATACTGATAAATACTTGGGTGTAGCGGCATGTTTCACACCATCCTCCGGCGTTCTTCGACTCAAACACATGACATGCCACCCGCACCATCGGCTCCTCGCTCCTCGGCTCCTCGTCTCCGTGCCACCGGGCCTCCATGGAGAGTCTTTGCAACAGCTGCTGCACCTGGTGAGTGAGTCTCACCGGTCTGGGCTTGGTGAATTAGAGACGGTTGGGCTGGGCCACATGATCCATATATTTGCCGCACAAGGTCTCCAGCACAAAGACATGGCTCAGGTGAGAGCTAGTGTATGGAAAGAGCATCACAAATTGAATCAACGCAAGTATATATTTAAAAAGATATACAGTATATATATTGTATGATAACTTCTCATCGGCTTGCTTTGTATTTAGAGAACTTCTCAAGGATGGGATCCAGTCTAGACTTCCTGACTGGACGCACTCACGACGCAATGTGATCGACGCAACGGGACCGTTGGACCGGCGGCGCAAGGGTTCGTGAGCCGAAAAACTGTTCACCGTGGCGATACCAAGATCAACACGCCTCCGGCTTGGCCTTGCCACGTGGCCGTGGAAGCAGCTTGCCTCGGCCCAGCCGGAATCGCACACTGCAGTGAAGAAGGGAAAATGATGGAATTTGACGTCTATCGAATGTCTCTCCCAGTTCTGGGAATGACTCCGAGCTTACTTGCCGTAAAACAGTTTGATCTCCATTCAAAGTCATTCCCTCATATATACTTGTCGCACGAATCGGTCAAAGTGAGCCAAACCGGAAAATCCCGAGGTGCTACAGCTGCGCGCCAGCTGCGTCATGGAGCGTTCCCACGCTTTCAAGTAACCTTGGCCGCAGGGGACCAGAACGACTACGGACCTCGTACGACGACCTCGTACAGGAAGGGGGCGGAGCGGCCAGCGTTTTCACCAAGGTGGTGCGGATAGGAGGGAAGTACCTGGGAGTCCAGGTCGTCCAATCAAAAGCGTGGGAGTCCACGCGCAGATAGAACGGAGTCCCCATTTCGAGAGGTACCGTATATGCATCCTGTGGGTTTTTAGACACCCACCGCCCTTCATCGAGACCCATCACATGAGGACCTTTGTCCTCGCATGAGGGACTGTCAAGATCACTAATCTTCAGGCGATGGACAGGAGGCATTTCACCAACCAGGGCCTTCTGTGTGTTCGTGTGCATGTCTGATTGGAGGAACAGCACGAAAAAATGTTGAAAAACTAATTTAGTGTCACGACCAAACTTCCTGCACATCAAGTTAAGGAAAGGATCTCCACATCCTTCCTTATCTTCTTTTACAGCGTGACTCATCCACTGTTTCGAACTCTGAAAAACATACCGGGTTCTTCTGGCACTTGTGGTGTCAGAATAAGCCCGAACCATTGAGCTTGAGAAGTCTGTGACGAAAACACACGTTTCCCAAAACGCACCCCAAGAGGCGGATGATGAGCACAGCACGCACCCTGTTCTCACCAAACATCGATCTTGGAGGGTTTTTCGGTGCAGCAAAATGGACCGTGAGAAATGGCCTCTTGGAAGAGAATGTTCCTCCCAAACCGGATGGTCTTCAGAGGTTCATGGGATGGTCTTCAGAGGGGTAAGTCCTGAGCTACTCTCCTTGCGTGTCAGTGGCTTTGCCGAAGACACATGGCCATACTCCTAGTCAGCACTGGCTCGCTTGAGAGGAGACAGCACCTGCCAGAATCCAACGACAACGGCTCTGCAAGGTTTGATCATCACCCCCTACGACCCGGTCGATCGAGCGTCACTCCATTCGATATCCTAAGCACCCTATCAAAACACCCACCAATCCGTGTTCCATTGAATGTCTCTTTCTGGCAACATGTTTCTCACATATATATATATATATACAGGGTGGCCGCCAGGGCGGCTGCAATGTATGTATATATATATATATATGTGAATAATGTATATATATAGAGAGAGAGTATGTATACAAATAGATTATAGCTCTATACGATAAACATACCTATAACATATCATACGTCATTCATGTATACATTACATAAGTCAAATGATCAGAGTTGCAAACAAATACTTAGAAACCCGTTACAAACCCTTTACTTAGAACATCGAGCTTAGAACATGCAGTGCAAACGCACTTAGAACATGGACCGCAAGCACTCTTAGAACAAGAGAAATCAGCACATTTAGAACATCATATGTACTGTATGTATAATATGTATATATATGATTATATGTGTGTGTGGGTGTCCTCTCTCGTTTTCACAGCTCTTGGATGTGTTCCCTCTCCTTCAATAATGAAAATAAACATATGCATTTCCCAAACATGAAGAACACCTGAACAACGTCTTTTATTGGCATGCAAGGCTCCACAATTGTTCTTTGCAAAGGCAACTTGCATTTGCAAAAACTTCTTTGTTTTACATATACAATCGATTGTTTTCCTGCGGTGATAAGTATCCTTTGCAGTTGTGGAGACACTGTGCATCTCTTCTGAAAGCACCACCTAATACAAGTTTAGAATAGTTTAGATGCGAGCACGCTTTCCAAAATCATCCCAATGTCCCAAATCATCAAAATATGTTCCCAGTGTAAGTGTAGTTGCGAGGGCCTGGGATGTTCTTACTCCAGGGTTAGAACATCTGCCGGCACATACTCTGCCGGCACATCGCGACCTATACATATAAAATTTACCGCCTGTGGAAAAATAAATTGTCCAAAATATGTGCTAAGTGTATGTCTTACAGTACAACTATATTGTTGTATATATGAATATATCTTATATATCAAACATGCACACACACAATAGGTCTTAAAACTGCACAGCGATTCGCACACCGGCCCCGTTCATCCTTGTCTGGCCTGCCAGCTCTGCGCTGCACCAGCGCGCGCAAACGCCCAGAGGAACTGCCTGAGAGACTCACCTGGTCGATGAGGCTGGGCAGATCTGCCAGCTTTGGCCTCAGATCACAGCAGCCTTCGACCGGTCTGGCGACGGATTGTTCGGGACCAAAGAAGGGAATGCTTCGCCCGGTGATGGTCAAGGTGCGAGGGAACCACACAAAGACACACAGCTTGTTGTTACATGCTTTATATCATTTTATATCTATATTATATGCGTACCATTGTGTATTTGCCCATTTCCTGAATTGAACATCAGCCCTCGTGCGTTGTGCTGCTCAATACGATACGTCTTGTCGGGGTGGGGTGGCACGGCTAAAGCGATGGAGACCACAACAGGTCTTGATTCCAATGAAATCCTTTTGGGAAAATCCGCCGACCCCGGGCTCTGGCAAACGCGATGTCGGTGTGATGTCGGATGGCCAAAAGTCCACCAAACATCGCAAAAACATGGTGTTGAAAATCGCCAAAACATTCGTTGCTGGTTCGTTGCTGACTGTTTAAAGCGTTGTCCAGGATAGACGGCCTAGGGGATCCTCCGGACCGATCGACACGCAGCGGCTACCGCGGCGGGAGGAAAGGTGCCCAAAACACGGTATCAAACACCGGTCTTTACCATGCGAGAAGTTATATGACCATAAAACAATAGTCATGGGAAGTTATATGACTAATACTATGTTTGATGATTAATACCATGCGATAAGTTTATACATTTAATGTTATATGACTAATACTATCGCAGTTTTTGAAACGAAGCAGCTAGAATTGCGAGGTGAAAGAAGAGGCTCCAACCTCACCCACTCACCTTCCCGGCTCCAAACGCACTCGTGAACCTCAGAAGCGTGCCCTCTTCGGGACTCAACACGGCCACCCCCCTGAATAGAGGGTTTCATTCACCTATTGGTTGTTCACGTCAGGGTATCCCTCTGTAAATCAACATCAATCAACCAAACCACCGTAAAATCAATCTATGCTTGATTCATTGATAAGGTTGAGAGTGTGTCTCCGCTATCGCTTCAGAACCCACAGTCCGTCAATTGAGCTGGTGGTTGTCTCACGCCTGGTGAGAAGAGCAGGACATAGTCTCAGCACCGGATCTCAAACGAGATTCTCCGCTGCTAACGCATCAAAACCTACCAAATCCTACTAGCCATCACCATCATCACCCCAAAAACACATCCAAACACTGCATGTTTGGACTGAAGCAAGCCACCTGTCCGGCCTTTTCTCAATTTCACCACCAAGCCACTGACCCTTGTCGCAAAGATCCAGCCATCCCACACGAGTCCCACTGGAGGTCTCTTGTGACAGCAGCACCGTGGCTCGTGCACTAGGAACGCTGGGCTCCGGCAGCGTCACGCTGGCGCCAGGCTCGGTCCAGCGCCAGATGTGCTGCAGTTGCAGCGAGCTGTCATGGAGGTGGAGTACATCGGAGTAGAGCACCAGCCTGAAGCAGCCATAGATAGCCATATACATAGCCGTGAGACTAGTTATGAGTCCAGAGATAGCCGAATTTGACTGCACCCCAGGGCCAGTGGCGACCAAGAAGTAGGCAAACTTTGGGGAACCTGGACCGCCGGTGCCAGGCGCTGGGAGATGCTAGCATCCGGAACCGCATCATCCGGTCATCCCGTCCGAATCACGGCCCTGGCATACGATTCCTTTTGTTTTTTGTTTGAATCTTAAAAAATGAGATGTCCCTCGGAGAGGCTACGTACGTCCTTCACCCACGACTCAACTCAGACATCCTGAGGCTCAACGACTCAGTCATCCGTTTAAAGCTGAGCGCCATCTTCCGCCATCTTCCGCCCTCGACGGCCTCCAGGCCGCCCAGGCCGAACTTCTGCCCCATCCACATGGAAAAGCCAAGACGCAGGACTTCCTCTGCACAGTGAACAAAGGACATCTGGATGACCTGCAGCGAAATGATCAGAGGGGGAATATGTTTCAGTCACTGCACCGTTGGGTCTTCGGCGGGAGGGTACTCGCTATTTTGGATTCGTTTGGTACACACTCCCGCTGAAGAGACCATACGGCTCTGACATGCTCTTAAACTGGGGACGATGATGCGGGATCAAGGAAGGCATCCTGTGCCACAAAAAGAGTGGAAGAGCGTTCTCAGATTGGTGATTTGTGGGATCCTCCAAGAGCCTGTCGAGTCTGTCTCCTTAGCAATTCAGGTGCCAGACCACCCAGAAGACCATGTGGAGGCGCTAGCATATAGGGTCTATTGAAAGTCCATACTCATCGATTCATATCGATTCTCCATCTCCATCTCTCCCCCCCTTTTTCCACTCTCCACGCACCTTCTGTGGGGTTCGCGTCCGCGTTCGCATGCTCGGTTCGCACGGGGGCGGCCAATTGGCTGCCCACAGGCAGAGCAACGAGTCCTGGCGAGGAAAACGAGCATCGAAAACGAGGAGCGCGTCCAAAACGATTAACACATGATCACATGGTGGGTTTGTCTCGCGATATACCCATCCAATGAGTCAATTTACATGATATATTGCTGTATACACCTCGCTGATGACCAGGGCTGCTTGTCTCATTAGGGCACGTACCTTCTTCGTACCATTCACCCAATGGAAAAAAATAGTGCTGGAAATCCAGGTACCAAGCTCCTTCATCCTTACTTTCGCGCTTGACCCAGGGCAGGATAATTGATAATGCGTGTATATATAATATAATATATATCCAATGTATTATCCATTATATGTATACACTGCCCTATCCGCACATGATCCTTGCTAACCCACCGTACCAAAACTGAATAGTTTCTGCATGATCTGTAAAAAAGAAAGATGAGCGCGGTAAGCGTCTATTTTGCCTCAAACAAGAGAACTCGGAGACGGGACTTTGCATAATAACATGTTGTTTTAAGACCAGGGGGGGTAGGCCGTAGAGGTAGCTAGCGGTAGCTATAGAGGTAACGCAGGATAGCTCACGCTTCTTTCAAGGAAGCTCCCCCCTTTAGGGCGGCGGGGAAGCTTCCTTGAAGAAGCGCTCGCACTAATGATTTGGTTTCTAGATTTTTAGGGAAACTTGAGGCTGGGGCAGCAACAGCAAGAAACTTTAGAAGTTTAGACCAGGATTCTTCCAACTCGCAGCATGCTGGCAAGCAAACTTCCATCACAAACATGTCCGATGGCCAAGTTGCAATTTGGCCAAAACACTCCAGAGAAAACGTGGCTCAAGCATCCTAAAACGGAACCTCCGCCAAAGAAGACATAGAACCTAGCAACCCTCGACTGAAATGGAATCACTCCACGCGTCTTCTGGGAGCCCAAAAAAGCCTTTGATTGACTCCTTGGAGGTGACGAAGAAGCTGTGTGGACGGTGTTTGAGTTAAGAAAAGCTGCCAGTGGATGAGTCGGAAGGTACATTCTCGCTCACCTCGCACGCACGCAAACACGCTCCAACGGCCCCCGGCCGTGCTCGTGGCGAAGACGCCAACGCTCGAGGCCGCACAGACCTCGAGACGGAGCCACGGGGTCGACTCACATGCGGCCCATGTGACTGGATGCTGGATGAACTGCGTAAGCCGCATGCCATAAGTGAAGAAGGAACTGCCAGGATGCAGATGCTGAAGAAGGGTTCTCCGGAGAGTTTGGGATATTTCTGTGTTTGAATCTGATTGGTTTTGAAGACGTTGGAAATCCACTTCGCTCGAGCTGCAAACGTGGTTCACATCATCTCTCACTGATGTCTGACTGCGGGTGTTTATCTTGTGCGGCACAGCCGCTGACTGGAAGTCTCATCGTGAATCATGTATGATGACTCACTCGGAGAAGCAGTTCCACAAGTCTAGGTGACTGTCATATGAGCCCCAGGGCAACATTCGTCGTGCGCAAAAATTAGATATCAACCGAACTCTGAAGAGGAGCTGCGGAGTTGCATTCAAATTCCAATCCTTCTCACAGCACTTTAGAATGGGTTGATGGCACATATCCCTGTTTATCTCATGCAGTACTCTAGGTGTCCGCGCAATGGGCTGTCCATCTGGCGATTTCACCTACAAAGAGCAGTGCTCAATGCACAAGTCAAATACAACTTCTACAGCTACTTCAACCAACTACACCAACTTCGACTTGGATCACAATCCTCAATTACTTCTACAGCTACTTTGTCTGCTTCAACCGTGTTTGACAAAACAGGAGTTGAGTGTCAAAGTTTGGAATTAGAATTGGTGATGGTGTGGAACACTATGATATTTTGTCCTGCCAGAACCTTACTGTTGATTCTTTTGGTTCTCAAACAACCCCGGTGTTCCTATTGCGCATTGGTTCCTACTGCACGTCAGGCCTGAGACTCTGAATTGATTCCACATGCTGCATCTTTCTTCTCCTACCGGACCTACCGCTCATACTAAACAGCTCAAACTAACCGCTTGGAACCTAGTTGCATGCTTTGTTTCATGGAATATAACTTTGTTGATCTATTCAATTCCCATTCTCTTCTAGCTCTTTGCCAGTCAGTTTTGTTGTTGAATACACTCCGAGTTCATCTCTTGTATGGAAAAATCAAAGCTTTTGGGATTTTCAGACTGAGATACAGGAAAGTGCAAAGCCTATCCGATGTGCGTTCTTTGGCCATCTCTGATGCCATCCCCTGCACCCGTTTTTTGCGATGTCCTGACCCATTTCTCTTGACCCCTCACACCTCCCTGCATACCCTCTATCTGTGTTGTGTCTAGTCCTGCGATGTCCTGCGTATCCACACTGCCCTCCATGTCCTGTCTCCGGATTTATGTCCACCTGCAGGTGTTGCTCTGTTTTTGTGTAACATCCGATTTGTTTTTGTGTACACCACATGTTCGAAACCTCTATCTCACCCTGTGAACATCGCCCAAAAAGGAGACATACAAACGTCCGTACCTGGGTAGAACGACTGTTTTTTGTAGACGAAAATACTCTTCCAAAGCTCCATGTTCAGTTTCAATTGTGAATCTTCCGGGTGTTCTGTCTTCTCTGTGTTCCCTGTTCATCCGCTTTCACCGTTCACCGCGCTTGCTTCGTGCCGGACCCGGCCTCACCAGCGCTTTCTCCCAGGTCGAGGGCATTGAGGGTAAATGCGTTGCCTTCGCGAATCGGTGAAGCTGAAAGTGGTCGACCAAACACAGTAGATGATCATTATCAATGACTGACTGGTGCGTCTCGCAGGGAATGAGGGTGGCTGGATCCAATAGAATCTCTATCAATATAACACAGTCAGATGATAATGATCTCAATATAACACAGTTATGATCAATTATCACCAAGCTGATATGATGATAATCTGATAATTCATAACTAGTATGATAGAATTGATAATATGATATGGTGATAATTGATGATATGATGAGATGATACAACATGATACACATAATGTAATTAATGGGTATTTGACGATGATAATGATTGATATGATGACCGCATCGACCCTGATATGATGATGATATGATAAACATGAGAGTATCCAAACAACATTGAACATGCTGATATCATCCCTTTGAGGTGGACGTTGATGTAGAGTATACCCTCCCTGAAACAATCGTCGTGGAAGTGGATGGCATGGCCCCTTAGATGACCATTGTTGAGGTCCTCTTCCATGATTGTTGGAGAGATGTTGTGGATTTTTGATGATATATATAACTGATCGGTAAATATGGTCAGTCCCATGGAGTGTGCTGAGCTTGGTCTTAGTGCTTGGAAGAAGTTGGAAGGATCGTCTTCAACTTTTTGGTGAGAGCGTAGCACATCTTTTTCTTCAGACCATTTCACATTCCTCAAACCTCACGTGTGACGCCCAAACCATTTTGCCCGTGACCAGCCGGGTGCACACCTCCGGGTGTGAGAAGAACGTCTGCGATTGCTTGGGATGGTTCATGGAGTCGTGAAAATTGTAGATTGAAGAACTCTACAAGTCCCGTAGAGGAGGAAGCACTCACACCATCTCACAGTCACGTGCAAAGTGGTCTTGCTGTACAGATGTTTTGGCGGGGGCTTCTTCTTGGAAGGGCAAATTACATTAGACTCACCCAGCAGGATAGAACCATTTTTGCAAAGTGCTTTACGTTGACAATCTTAAAGGCAACTCCAACTCCGACAAACTGAGTCTTGGTGCCTGCATTCATCTTCAAAGCATCCGTCTTCACGAGAAGGCTTGCCTCTCTCATGTGCCTGCCAAGCTTTAGGCTGCCAGATCGGCGCTCATCCAGAATTCTCAGAATTTGAATCGGGGCTCAAAGAGTCTGGGGTTTTCATCTACTTTCCCTATGTATATGTAGACCCCCAAATAGATAGAAAAGTAAATCCCCACAAATGTATTGGAAACCGTTTCTATCTATTTGGGGGCCACTTTAGAGATCTGGGACCATCTTGTGGCGTTCACACGTCCACTTCACGAGTTGAGCGCAACGATTCTGACCGCCACGGAACAGGGAGACCTCCCAGTTCGACTCCCCCCTGGACGGTTCGGGACTCGTGACTCGTCAAAAAAAACCATTGGGCAAGGGGGTCTCCTTTGTTTGGACAAACAAAACACAGCGGTAGGATCACCCACCTCGGACCTTACAAGGCCGTTAGTGTTTCATCCTCAACTTGCAGCCATAGGTAAATTGCCCCCGGCATATTTGGCAAAGGATGGCAAAGGTATTTATGGCACGTCTCAAGGGTCATAGTGTGAGTGCAATGCAGGTTAGGGTGCAGTCCAGAACCAGAAACAACAACTCTTTTCCCACCAGTGCAAGGGAGCGCCATGGAGACTTTCAGTGTTTCAAACTTCACAAAATATTTTAACTCGCAACCACACAAATTACATTTGAGGTTCTTCCCCTCTTCTTGCCACACATGGCCAGTCGTACGATCAGCATCAGCTTTAGCTTTCAGCAAAAGGGTGCACTACGAGTTCAACAGGTGGTGCCAACTACAGCGCTGGCGCGGCCTGAGCAAGATTGAGCAAGAGTGTCCCATTTCCAAGTGAGCCACCACCTCAGGGGAGGGAGGGTCTCCCTTGTCTCCCTTGTCTACACAGCCCACAGCGGTCGTGGTCGCGGTCACCGTCGTGGGAGCGCCTTCCTCCGAAGCAAAGGAGTTGCCCATCGCCTGAGAACCAGCAACAATGGCTGTGGGGAGATGAATGCAATCCGAGAAAAAGCCAACAAACAACCCAGAACATCGAAAAGAGGCGACTCAAAGTCAACAAGAGAAGAAAGAAGACCTGGGATGGTGACCCCTGGTGTTTTTCATGGTGGGATGGTGACCCTGGTGAATGACAGCAGTGGAATGAAAAACCACGACCTTTCTCCCTTCGTTCCTGCGGCCTAACCTGCCAACCCGGTTTCACCCGGCCCGTGTTCATCCATTCCCAACAAGGAGTACGTGCTGGCGATGTTCGGAGCAAGTGCATCGCTACGTTCGTAACAAGGGCATGACTACGTTCGTAACAAGGGCATCGTTACTAGTAGCAAAGCTACTGTAGTAAGAAGGGCATCGCTACTATGTTCAATGGAGCGGATGAGATTGAACCATATTGCGGCTGATGTTCGACCTTCGGTCTTGGTCGGGTGTGACTTCTGGGTCAAGTCGGGCTTCGGTTCATGTTTTGGACTGTCCCACGTCTACACAACCAGGTCCTCACGAAGCACCCGTTGGCCAGTAGAAATTCGGAAGCACTTTTCTTCTGACCCATGACTTCTCACAGTTGAAACATGTTGAAACCAAAAGCAACTCATCAGAAAGGTAATTATGATGTTCTCCGATGCATCAATTCCACTGGTGATGCCGGTCCAGTCCCTATGGGTCCCCAGCACCACAGCACTGATGGAGGCTCTGGAAAGAGAAGCGTCACCTAGCTGAAAGTCACCCGTGTCACCAGGCGAATAGGTATTCATCTTAGCATGGTCCAGCCTGGTGTTGAAAAAATGGTTAAAGATATCCCGCATGAGGAAGCAAGTTCTTTCAGAGGGTCTTTTGCAGATGGTACAGCAAGGTACAGCATGGTACAGCATGGCTTCCATCCAACGGGGAGCTCGAGTCGTGAGCTCATAGCCGCTGAAAACTCGACTTGAGGGGGAAGACTCGACCAAATCCTGTCGTTGACCGTTGACCATCCACTGGAACTTGTTTGAGGAGCAATGTGGCGTTCCATTTCTTTTGCAAGTGTTTCATGTTTCTATCCGTTCTGGACTTCACATGCTCATGTTTGAGGTTAGCGGTCCGGTCCTTGGCAAGTCGCCCTTGGTCTTTCGAGCTTGGTGGAGAGTCCCATGAATGCCCATCCCGATGGATTCAGACAGCAACAGCAGTGACTTTACTGGTGCCAGCAAGTGCTTGGTGCTTGAACGCATGTGCATGGATCACCAGTATGCCCGATGGAGAACACCTGAACCCCCTGTTTTTTCGGCGGCCGGGACCCTCAAAATCTCTTGTTCAAAAGTATGAGGCCAACATAGGCCATCCAACCCCAATAGATCAAGACTTCGAGCCAACAAGGACCAACCTTCGCCTTCGTGCGCCGGGACCAGGTACTGGTGCTGGTACCAGATGGTAGTAGGTACTCACCACACCATCCCCAGAAAGCTGGGGCCGTTTCCTCCAAACGAAAAGGCCATGGGCCATATATAATCAAATGGCTGACCACCTGACATGCAACCATCAACAAAAAGCTACTAGGAACAAGTGCCTTACTAGTAGTAACAGGTGCCACGCTACTAGGAACAAGAAGCTATTAAAAGCTCCGTCTGATGAGTGGTCGGTGTCACTCACCTACTGCTCCGCCCGCCTCTGCGCGCCGACCTCTGAGGAGATGGGGACGGGAGGGGTCCACAAGGGGTCGGAAGGAACCGTCCGCGGGACGCGTCTCGCGCCTGGCCGCCCGTTTGGGTGTGTCCTCTAAGAGATCTAACAAAGCACTGTACACAGAGAGTCTGGATCATGCTTTGAAGATTGTTTGGACATAGCTACTTTCTTTCTATCTTTAAGCCCGGCCGACTTCAGCGGAAATTAGAAGATTCCAAGGATTTCGGTGAACCCTTTGACTTGATCGAAGAGATGGTGCGACCGAAACGAAGACGGAGTTGGTTTGTTCGAGAACAAAACGGCTGGACTAAAGGTCAAAGAAAAATGGCCCTGCACAAGCTTGTGGACGTGGACTATACCACATGTTTCGCTGCATGTCCGATCGAAGCGAGGTCATCCGAGATCTCAGATCAACTCAAAAATGGTCATGGATCTCTCATCGAACACCTTCGCGCCTGGCATACGACCTTCGTGCCAAAGCAAGACTCGACCATCTGCCAACCTCGGTGCGAAGAACACGTGCACGTCGGCACGTGCGAAACCTCGAAGTTTCCTGTGTTTGAGAAACAGATTGGAACCCAAGCCATGGCATGCCAGGGGTATCCATGGCCGCCCATGGCCCCGAAAAACTGCCACCATTATCCATTTAGATATAGACGTAGAATGACGTCATTGTATAGAGTATACCTCTTCCCATCCTCGAGCTATACCCCTGTGTCACATCCGCTTGCACCCTGTATATCCCCTAGTCGTCTCCTTAGTACCGCAAGTCAAAGCCACACACCTCCACGGAGTCTTCCCTCCGTTCCCTCGGCCCGGGTGGCCCGGACACCAGAGCGGTGCGGTCCCGTTCCACGGCCGCCGAGAGCGCCTCCCGCCGTGAGTCAGGTGGGATTAGGTCAAATACGGAGGGGTCCAAGACGTGGGAGGCGCAGATTCCCATGGTTTTTTCCCATGAAACATACAATGAGTGTGTGGAGAAGAGTGAGATAGAGTGAGTGTGTTGTGTCTTCTTCTTCCCCTGTAGACCTGTAGACCTCCCTCCGATGTCGGGGGTTGCGGGCCCAACAGTGTGAGCGTGGAGGAAGGAAAATGTGTCTTACACATAGCTTTAAACAAATGAACCTCTGTATAGCATTCTGCACATCAAGGAAAAAGGAAATTGGTAGCTGTTTTCAAATCTGCCCGCTCCAGAGTCCTGAACAAGCCTCTTAGATTGAGCTTCTTGACAGAAACTCCTCGCCAGTTGCACTACAGTAAGCAAGTTGCTTACTGGCTGGTCAGGCAATATCGCTGTATACATATGGGAAAGAGAAAATATACACACACCTGAGCTGGTTCATCAAAACTCCTTTCCTGGGACGTTTTCCATCAACTGTTACAGTAGTATAACATAGAAATATATATTACAACAATCTATATAATCCCATATATATAATCCCTCTACCTAGGAGTGAGGTTCCTCTCCCCCTGATCACCCCAGTTGAACTTCGGATGGAGCCCTTCGAACTCAACTCCACTCGTTACACCGAGTGGGGAGTAGGTCTACGAGGTCCAGGTCCGGTCTACAAGGTCCAGGTCGAACAGCACGAACCTCCAATTGTTCAATCGAACCTTGTCTAAACCCATAATAGGAATGGCCTCCAACCCATAGGAATGGCCTCCACACTAGAAGCGATGGCCTCCAATCTACTGGCACAAAACCAAAAAATATATATATAATTATGTATATATAGACAAGAATCCGGTGTCCACCGCTTTCAGCACCTTTTTGGGCCGCGCTACCTTCGGGTACACGAATCTGGCCGGGGGTTTGGGTGAAACACGGATACGGAATCGGGTACAGGACGTAGCCCGGAGCTTCCATGGCGTAACATGGCGCCTGCGTGGGCTTCAGAAAATCATCTGAAACCCGGAACGATCGGTTCTCTCATCAGTTCCGGGTCAAAGCGTTTGAAGAACAGTTGTGCGATGAGCAACATTTCAACAAGGGCCGCGTCCAGATATGGGCGGACAGCGTTTTCTGGCTGGCGAGACTCTTCATGAAGCGCGATTGTCTCTCAGAAACGACATGAACACTCGAGTCCACAGTTGTCCAATTAGGCACCGCCTGTGTCTTGGGAATGCGTTGCCTTCTATGTGATTCTTCTACCCTTCTTGCATTCATCTATACTCTCAAGGGCCTGGCAGAGTACTGAGAGTAACATGTTAATTCCTCTGCCTCCAACACATTCCAATCCTTTTGGAAAACAAACAACACCTTCACAAATCCCAAGACCGGAGTCCTGGTTTCACAGAACTGGTAGTGGTCCATCTCTGCACTGGTTGACTTTGGCAGTCTGTCCCAGGAGTCTGGATTCTTGAAGGGTTGATCACCATTTCAACCAGATCTTCCGCAATCCCATGAATCCCAATCAGGGGAATCGTGAGATTTCTTGACAATCCCCATATGCCTTGCATCTTGTCCTGAGCTAACGTACCATGATTCTTGATTGAGATTGGAAGTTGTCCGTTTGTTGATAGGCCGCAAGCAGTAGCGATGCAGTTTTGGGGGGAAGGGTTGGCATTCGGAAGGAACTTGGAAGACCTTTTGGACTGGGAGCTTTCCATAAATATCAGCTTCAGGAATGTGAACCGCAGAATGACGTAGATTCTGGGCAGTATGACTGCTATCCAACACTTGCTTTGGTTCAAATCACGGAACAACGGGTGTCTCTCTTACAGCAATAAACAATACACAACCACTAAGCCCTGGATTGAGGACCTTGATCTTGGGTGTTGCCCTTGGTCCAGTGTTAATCATGGAGATGCAACATGATGCAACTAATTACATAGTTCAGTCAGTTCGCCTCATCAAACAGGAGAATCGCAGAATCGCTGCAGTCAGTGCAGTGATTTCTTTCTCACAGACGATTGAAAATGTCAGAAGTCCTGCGCCGCATTGGTCCCAGGTGGGCTCGTCGTCTGTTCCATGTGAATCGTTTTGGTGGGCTCGTGGACCCTGTCTCAGGTCGTCCGAACTATCACCGCGCTTGACCGTACGTGGACCCTGTAGACTGTTTGGCGTTCGTGGCTTTCGTGGCTTTCAGGACTGGTTTTTCGATACGAATGGAAGTTCGAATGGACGGAACAACAAAACGACCCGAAAGGTCGCTAGGGACCGAGTTCTGTCCAGGCACCTCGACTGGCACTTCGAAGCTGCAGGTGTTCGACTGTCGCACTTCTTGAGATATGTTTGCTCCACCTGACTTGACAACGGGTCATCCACGTCAAACCACTTCTTGAGATATTGTTGCTTCACCTCCCAGCCGAGAAATGTGACACTTGACAACGGGTCATCCACGTCAAACCAATATATGGAATCCCATGGAGCCATGACGTCCGCGTCGTGACGAACGTCACGTCACGACCGGAATTGCCGGGACGAATGCGGCAGGAAACTCCATCCATCCAAATGGACTCTCTCGTACTCCCTGGAAGAACCATGGTTTCCATGGCCCCTAGGATACTAGGATGACTCAGGATGACCATTGACCTGTACAAACAGGTGGTGAACTCCAATTCCATGATTCTTTCAAGGAGTGTAAGCGGTCTTGTCTCGGCTGAATCCATTGAATCATACAGGTCCGTAGAAAAATTGCTACCATATGTCGGTGATAGGCTGGGGTACGGGGTATCCCCTCTATTTATTTGAACCCACCAAAAGTAAAAAGGCCAGTCTATGGTCTGAATCGTTGAAGACTTCGGACAAACGGAAAGACAAACAGCTCGTCACATGACCAACAGCCATGGTTACTCAAGATCGGTTCAAAAGAGGCCATATTTTCCATATCTGATCCATTCCAATCGATTCAAAGATTGCGAAAACAGCTTAGACAAAGCCGCTGTTCGGATCAGATCGATAACGTTTTGATCGCCGCGTGGGTGAAAAGGTGGGGCACATCGCCGCGTGGGGAGAGCGCCCGGAGATCATCTTCGGATCTGCCTCCCATGAATTAGAAGATAAGGCGCTGCCAAAGGAATAAACCACAAAAGGGATCTGGCTGCGGATTGAATTGTGATAACATCTGTGATTTCAAGCCACCGAATTTCAAGTCTAAACTGATGGGAGAGGCAAAAGCAGGCAAAAACTATTGTTTTGGGGCCCTTCAAGCAGCAGCCTTTGGTTAGCCGCGCACGAACCAGTTCAAGGTTCTCTTCCTTGCCAGCTCTCTCGCGAGCTGATCACTGCTTGGCTCAACCTGGGCGAGGCGATGGATTGCGTGGATTGTGTGGCTCCTGAACTGAAACACGCTTGAGTGGCAGCAGTATGTAAATGCATTAAACTCAGGATAATCCGTCGGCCTGCCGGCGTGTCTTGTGGGTGTGCTTGTACTTGTCTTGTCTAATACTAAAGTTGTTCATCGTTTAGATTGCTCCTCTGCGCGGATTTTTGCCTCGACTAACTTGAACCCCCCCCCCACGCCCCCGCTTTGCGCGTTGTTGTTGTTGTTGTTGTTTTTGTCGTCGTCGTCGTCGTCGTTCTGCACGCGCGTTGCCTATGTTCTGCCTGCACTTCACAGCGTTTTGCCATGGCTTTAAAAGCATTAATGCCCACCAACCACCATGTACACCCAACCACGGCTTACACATGTTTACACCAACCATCGCCTACACCAAGCCACCGTTTACACCAACCACCGTTTACACAAACCACCCTTTACACCAAACCAAGGTTTACACCAACCGCCGCTTACACCACACCACCGTTTACACCAACCACCGTTTACACACTGTCCATCTCAGTGTCCTTCTTCACGTCTTGTTGATGGCGCCTGTCTGCTTTCGCGCGTGCTGAACGCTGGAGAGCTGCCGTGGCAAGGAGCTTCCGGTGCCTTTTGAAGGGCTGGAGATCTTTGAAGATGTTGTGTCTGAGGACATGGAAAGGCTTGGCTGATGTGCAGAACTTCGTTTGGTTTGGTGGGGGCATTATTTTTGCTGTAACCACCCTTTACACCACACCTCCGATAACACCAACCACCGTTTGCACCTGACCACCGTTTACACCAAACCAAAGTTTGCACCAACCACCGTTTACACCTAACCGCGGCTTGCACCAACCATAGCTTGCAACACACCCCACTTTACACCAACCACAGTCCACATCAAGCCGCGGTTTTTACCTATCACCGTATGCTATAGGACAAGACCTTGCGCTTATTCCCCGCAGCTCTCCCACCTCACCCCTTCTGCCCGCGCACTGTCTATCATACAGACCTCGACAGACCCTCTTGCCACCGACCCCTTTCCTCAACACCTATCTAGACTTTTTGAAGTCTGAGAATGGCTTTAGAGTGACCCTTTACCTTTTTCAGCACCGGTATAAGCCCACTCATGATTTACGTTACCTCTTTCGCGACTCTTTTTCCCACCTCTGCACTTCCACACGCCCCTTCCCCTCCCCTGGCCGTATCTCTGCTTTGCGTCTCCCACCCTTGAGCCAAGCTCCCTTGCTTACGCTTTGTTGGCTACATGTTGCTCGTTGCTTTCCCTTCACCCGCTCCACCGGCAGGAGTCAATTTATGCCTTGCTCCAGGGCCAGCCCTTGCCGTTTCTTTGCTTTGTGTCTTCCCCTGCCTTCAGTCTAGCTCCCCTTCTCATTTTTTTTGCTCACGACACGTTGCTCCTCTGCACACATGCGGCAGCGTTCAGCCGCGGAGGCCGGCGGCACACGCCAACGGCGGTTAAATAGTGCGGATAGTGGTATATGCATGTCATATTTCCTACGGACCTGGTTGCATGGATAAATGATCACCCAACAACTGCGTGGCAAGGCGGTAAGGCTCGGAGCCAAGCCCGACCAAACCTGCTGGCGCGCCAAGCTGTGACTTTAATGGCAAGGCTTCTCACATGTTCGAGTGTTGCACACCCCAAAAATGATGCAGAAACTCATACAGGTCATGTCCATCTCTGCAGGGCCATCGACCAAATGAGGGCTGCGAGGACGACCAATGTCCTTCGCTCCCTTCATGTCGATGGTAAACTCCCTGAAACCCAAAATGGTTATAGACGTGAACGGCGTGGCCCCCGAAAAGATGACCAAGCTGTTTGGTGAACTCCACGTATTCCATCGCGAGGGGTTGGAATGTACAGTGTATCCATCTGAGGGGGGAGAATCCAGTGAGCACATGCCAGCGAGCCACTGATGTGGATGCACCAAGTGTAGGAGCTTTTGGAGCAGTCTGGCACGCGCGAGCAGAATGCAACAGAATCAAAACATGGTGTCAATCAGGAATGACTTCTACGGGGAACCCTACTAAGCACGTCTCCGTCTAAGCACTCCATTTGCCAACGGTTGGATTTCTTCTCCTGCACCACCTGAAACCACTACCAACAGTGTAAATACCAGCATCCTCCAACAGGTCTCCTGGTTAGAGGGCTGTTGTTGGGCCCTACACCAGGTCTCAATTGATGACCTGTGAAGTCGGGTGCTGGTACACCTTCGTTTTCAAGTCGTGCAGGATATCATATATCTTCCATGAACAGGCTGGAGCTCAACAAGTTCATTTTGGCCTCAACTGTTCGGGCTGGTCCTCTAGTAGGTTGTCGGTGAGTGGGGATGAAAATCGAAGCGAAAAGACTCAGAGCCATTGGCATTACCTAAAAAATGAGCAATGGATTGATTGGTTTAAGATGGTTTAAGATGGTTTAATCAATCGAACATGTACTGTACAGTGAAGACAAAGAATGTATCACCCAAGACGAATGTACCATCCGTCCGGCGTCTACACGTCCAAGTTGCAAAGCAGCTTTCTCGATATCAAGAAATAAAGACACGGAGAGTGGAGCAATCATGAATCTGGGCAAAATGAGTTCATCAACTGAACTTGATAAAGAATCCTGAATCAAAACCACACAAGTCATTGGTACATCGCTCGTTTATATAATTGTAGGTGAATTTGCCACATTTGTCTTTAGACGACTGGACCTACTCCCCAGGCTGTGTGCATATTTCTCTAGACTTGGACACAGTGATGGTCACCCAATTTTGCTTCGAACTTGCTGATCTGCAGCTGCAGTGCCCGAACCACCCCCGTTCTCGCCGCCAAACCACTGGAGACTCACAGTCCATGTTGGTTAAATCCACACGGAGCCCTAGGGACATGCTTCACAGTCGGACATCGATTACCATTCATTGGCTTGGACACAACCTTCAACAACATCCCGACACGTGTCGCCTCCATCATCCATCTCAACCGGTCGACTTCCTACCACTAACGCCCTGACTTCTTCTTCGCGCCACGATGCCAAGTGCGCCTCGTGATTGCCCGTGACTGCTGCGATCTGTTGCGCCTCAACCTGACCGAGATGGTGGCGGTGTGGCCATCGTGCCGTTTGTGGCGAGCGCGCCCCGCGGGAGCCGAGACTGTGCACATCATGTGCTGCCCTGTGGCGAGCGCTCGCCCCACATGCATGTCATATCCAATATGCCAGGGCAGGGCAGCGACTGTATCAGACATCTCATAACTACTTGATATATGCATGTAGTCTTTCGTAGGAAGTGGTGCCCGCCCTGTTGCTCATCAGACATTGTTCAGGTCGTTTGCAAATGTCAAACCAATTCTAATCTGGTGATCTTGCTTGTCTTGGGCTCTTGGGCCGTTCAATAGAGATCGATGGCCTGTTGATTTAGACATAAGACGCCGTGTTGTGCTCGGCCACATGGGAAGAGGCCCGTTTTGTTACCAAGTCCTGGGAAATTGACGCCATGCAAGAGAAACTCGAGAAAGTCCACTCCGGTCGCTTCTACTGCTAATCGAACTGTTTCTTCACCCACCAGGTGTCTTTTCCGCCTCCTCCTCTCAGCCTGTCTGGCTCGGGCCGCTCCCCGAAAGCCCGCGCCTGCTGGTAGTAGCCCTCCGCCGCTAAAAGCCCCGAAGCCACCGGCTCGGTTCCGTTCCTGAAGGCCCGGGCAGAGCTCCGATCAGTCAGATCCGAAGACCAGAGCGTTTACAGGTGACAGGGGAAGAAGGAGCCTTTTCAGGTGACTAGGGCCTTTCTTCTCAACATCAGCTCTAATGTCTTTTGTCAAACACTTTGGGCGGTTATTTTTACGATTGCCAGGCCCCAGTTGAAGAACTCAAAATGAAGTCCTTTTGGTGGTCCCTGTGGGCTTGTGACCTCTTCTTGGTGACTCGGCACTCGCGGGGCACGAAGTCCTTTTCCACACGTTTGGGCAAACCTAGGTGGTTCGGCCACTGTTTTCTTCCACCTTCGGTTGATTCAACCGATGCGTTTCATCCGTTCTTTTTCCGCAGTTCGGTGGAGACCAAACGACGGCTTCCCGAGACAAAACGGCAACTTTTCACAGCTCTTCCCTTTTTTAAGCGTCTCGCGTGGACTGGAACAACAGACATGGAACGTTACAGCGGCCAGGGGAACACGGCGCTTTGATGAAGGTCCAAGTTGGATTTCCGCCAGGAACATCCCCCTATAATAGGGACCTGCCGAAGCTTGAACAGGTTTCTTGGAAGGAATTACACGAAACAACAGGTCAAGAAGGGCTGTTTTTACTGACACGACCAGGATCGCCAACACACATTGTGTAAACCTCAAGGAAAACGTCATGAAGTTTGATTAGCTAAGTTCGTTCCCTGTGACCCTGCTCTCCGCATCGTTCTCTCCCAACCACCAGCCCATTGGAGTGCCACAAACGATCTTTTCTCGGCCGCGGCCAGCGGCCAGCGTCTTTTTTTAATGTTTAGGCGACCATGGAGAAAAAGCGCCCTTGGTGAAGGGTTCATGCAGAGCCACTCCCTGAAACAATCATGGAAGTGAATGGCATGGCTCATTGGACAGAGGCTTGTCCACTTCCATGGACTGGGAGGGGACAGACATTCATTGGATGTCCCAGACCCATATCTATAGAGGGTGGGTGTGCTTGGGAGAGCACACACTAGCTCAAAACCCTTAGAAAACACTGTAAATACCGAGCAAAATTTCAAACACTGCTCTGAGAACTAGGCGAAACGCAAATTTTTGGATCTGTCTGTGCCCAGTCTCCATGTCCAATGTCAATGACAACAAATAACAGCTCTTCGTCTGCCCACTATCAATGTGCAACACCAATGATAAATATTATCATGTAAATCTCTCTCTGCCCACAATGAATGTAGCATCATGAGCGAATGAAGATATAATACTATACATCTCTAGATTCAATAGCTTTCCTCTGGATCTCTGGGAAAGTAGATTTCCTAGATTTGTGTATTTTCATTGAAGGAAAGCATTTGAAAGAAACACTTACATACATACTTATAGCTTTTTTAAAATACCATGACTATTTCCAGAGATCCAGAGGAAAGCTTTTGAAATGAAAGCTTTATATTTTTCACAGAAGTGATCAGATCTAGAGGGAACCTTTTGAATTAGAAGTTTGTACATAAAGCAGTTTTAATATAGCAATGAATATTCCAAGGGATTACTTTAAACAAATACTATCTACTCAAAAACATAGTTTGTGTCTTATTCCCAGCACTCCTAGGGCAAAAAACACTGTAAAATATAGGGTTTTGTAACATGTGTGTTCTTAAACTAACTAAACTGGAATTAAAATAGAATTAGGCAAACTCAAATTAGAAGATTTCAATCACGATCCTTTTAACATTGATTGTGGAATTTGCTATTTATTAGATATTAGATTGCAATAAAAATCATTTCCAAGTTCTCTTTAAAACTCATTGTGGAAACTAGTTCTTACAATTAGATTTTAGTCAAAGTCCTTTTCAAAGTTAGTGGTGGCTTTGATTTAATATCAGATTGTGTTTAAAATCGATTTAAAATCAATTGTGGAAATTGTGATGCTTAACTAACTTGAATTGATTTTGTATCTGTTTGCTCCCCACTACAAGGCTACATCAAATAAAAGGACTTTAACTAACATCTAATTATAAGAATTGATTTCCACCATTAACTCTTAACTGAAAGTTAATTTTCACAATCAATTCTAAAAGGGTCTTGATTGATATCCAATACACAAGCAATTCAATCAAATTATGCTGAAAAGAACTCAAATTAAAATCTGAACAACAAGCAATTTCCACAATGATTTTGAAAAGGACATTAATTGACATTTAAGTAATGCCTAATTTCTAGAATGAAATATAATAGGATTTTAATTGAAATCTAATTCAAAATCAATTGCCACAGTGATCTTGAAAAGGCATTTAATCGAAGTTGAATTACACATTCATTTTCTATGATTAATCTTGAAGAAATGTTAATTGAAATCTAATATAAACATCAATTTCCCCAATGATTTTGACAATGATATAAATGAAACTTAGTTTGTAAACAATCTACACTTAATCTTAAACACATTTTTAATAGAAAGCTAATGATAAATCAACTTCCACCAAAAATTCTGAAAGCGTTTTAATTGAAGTCTAATACCAAAATCAATTGAAATCCAATTTAACATCAAATTCCACCGTTAAACTTAAATGAAGCAAAAGCACTGTGTTTTACAGTGATTTCTTGAAAAATCCTCTCCAAAATTGAGGTTTTGAGCTATTTTTTGAGCAATTTTGTGAGATCCAAGCCTATCCCAATTTAGAGGGAATACCAAAAAAACAAAAACCAAAAAACCAAAAAAACAAAAAAAAACAATGTTTGAGACAAAATGGGGTCACTATTGGTTTTTGGATGTTGGCTGCATTTTGTGTCAAACATTGGTTTTTTTGTTTTTTTTGGTTTTTTGGTTTTTTGGTTTATTGGTTTTTTGGTTTTTTGGTATTCCCTCTAAATTGGGATAGGCTTGGATCTCACAAAATTGATCAAAAAATAGCTCAAAACCTCAATTTTGGAGAGGATTTTGCAAGAAATCACTGTAAAACACAGTGTTTTTGTATCATTTTTTGCATGAAAAACATCTCCCAGGAGCACCCGTTCTGTATCTATATCGGAATAGGTTGGGTTTATCCTATTACCTGTAAATGTGGATGATGATGGTTAGGTGGCAGGCCTTGTTCAAAAATAGTGATAATTGTTTACTGACTGTTACAGGTAAGAACGGACAGACCCAAAGAATAGGTGTTTTTCATTCTTTTCTCCATTGAAAAAGCAATAGGATAGCACCCGCCAGAAATCGCTCATCCGCACCATCCGATGTTAGCACCATCCGCCCGCACCCGCACATCCGTCTAGGCGATGTAACTTGCTGGGCTCCCTGACTCATCTGTGGTCCCTGACGCGATGCAAACGAGTTCTTTTTGAGACCTACACAAATGACTAACTATAACACTTGCAGTAATTGTGGAGTAGATTAGAAAGTGTCGACAGCAAAAACCTTTGGTCAAGCTGGTTGTGTAGTACCCTATGTTGGAGCCTTTCAGATATGTAATACAGCAACTCAACTTCATGATGAGATCATGGGAATCATGGTAAGCTCTTCTCTGCAAGTGGTTGCTCTGTGTTCGTTCGTCGGCAACACACAACCGGTGCAGGCTCCAGGTTCCAAAGGGTCCTGGTCGACCCTAAAAAATGCCCCAAAAATAATCTACCCACCATGAGCGACACCAACGTACAAATTTAAAAATAAAACAACACAAAAATGCTTGAACTTGTGATCCCTGCCCACTGCGCCCGTGGCATGACGCAAGCACCACGCAACCGTCAAGCAAAAGCAAAAACCGTGCTGCAAACCCTTGTGCCATTCCTGGCCTCAAACAGCACAAAAGAACTTTAGTGCTTCAGGCTTGAGCCCCCTGTTCCTCACATGCTGGCACTGACATCGATCAACTGCCAACCCACTCTCGCAGTGTATCGTTCAATAAACCGGGAGTCAACCCCCCATCTATGCGCCTCGAATAACAAGGAGTTCGAGCTGGCCAACGTTCATGAGGCTCTTGAGCATGTTTGGAACATCCTTTGAGATGCCATTCACTGCCTCAGTTGGCGAGAGCGAGGTGAACGCCTCCCTATATGGAGTTCTGCTTGCGTACGAGTTCTGTTGGAGCGACTGTCATGATATGTCATGATCTTTCATGGCACACATACTACGGCACTCCCAAGTCTCCCAAGACATGAAGGCCATCCATCCCCCAAATCAACATGTTCCACCAAGCACCTTCTCAAAGAGACCTATCCCTATCCCTGACACTCCATGTATACGGCATCTTTACCTTGATTCACCTACATTGGGGTGGTTCACCCGGGTCCATGTGTGGCAGTCATGTTTGGGAGTACAGATCCAATAGCTGTTGAACCCAAAAACACGACCAAAAGCCTGGCGATCTCGGGACGACACGTGCAATGGCAACGCCGCCGCTCCCTCCCTGGGGCTCCAACGACAATGCAGTCGCCACTCCTGCGGCAGGAATAGTAGGAGCCGCCAAGGTCGCTGGGGTAGGACTTGTACATGTTGGTAGCCAAGTTGCACATGTTTCTCACAGTGCCTCATGGTAGCTAGTTACATCTAGTTACTATGCCCAAAAGAAATAATCTCCCTCAACCACCATCCAACACAAAAAAAAACATCCAGGGCCAAGGCTTTCTGGCCTGGGCGTTCCGGCCAATCCTCCCGACTCAGAAGTTGATGCGCATCAGTCCTTACAAGCTGCATGGGGTTCTCATCATTCCATTGGCCCATCAGGCCGCCATTCACGTCCACAACGGGAATGGCGGTACTCTCCTGCGAGTTTCAAGCTTTGTCGCGCTCGAAACGGCACGACTCACGCAGCTGTCCGGTGTCGGGGTTGGCCTTGGGAGTTGCGAAAGAAACAAATGACATGTCACAGTTTCCAGGACGAATCCTAGTGGTGAATGGACACCCCTGGGTCACAACCCTGGGTCACCTTGGCATTTAGGCACCAACCCGGCGAACTGGGCACCAACACGTACACAAACGGGGCACCAACGCGGCCAGGACAACTCTTCAAAAGAACACATGTACCGGACCGTGGTGGTTGGGCCACGACCGCTGCCACGACCGGGGAACGGAACCGTCGCCGAGTTCGCCGTTGGCAGAAAACCGTTCTCCATTGGTCTCCACCCCAAAGGCCGGGGGCGTCACCCGTCCTCCGCATAGTCGATATCTAGTCCAAGCTTCGCGGACTTCTCCTGCCGGACCGTCACGTCCGCTGGTCGTAAGGCCCCCTAGTAAGTAGCGAACCTTGCTCCTAGTAGTAAGGCCAGGAGCCCCTAGTAGCGAACCTTGCTCCTAGTAGCGATGCCAGGAGCCCCTAGTAGCGTTCTTGCTCCTAATAATAAGGCCAGGTAACATCAATTGACAATTGAATACAATTGATCTTTTTTGGTCCCTTTTTGGAGAATCTGGGATGCTTCCTGAGCATGAAGATGCTGATGAATTCTGAAGGTCTCTAAGAGAAATCTGGAAAGGACCTCCGACTTCCATGCAGCAAAAGGTGTTTTACTTGCCCAAGCCAGTGCAGAACTTGGCTTTTTGAGGGCATCTTTCGGTTGGCCAGCCTTTCCATCCGTCGGATCTCCTTGGACACCCCTCCACTATGACTGACCCCCAAAGGAGCTGTGGCCCTCGGACCGGACCAACCCTCGGTCCACAGCTCGGAGTGGGAATCGAGGCGCTTCTTCCATGCCGAACGGAATAGGCAACGAAAACCGCAGCTAACCTGTATGATCCTGGTATGAAATGAGGAAAGTTCCTATCTAGACTTGAACAAAATGGCCCACCTGGAAGAGTTCCTAAGAGTGTCCTTTGCATTGCATTGCGCTGGTCCTTTTCTTCATGTCTCCGACGTGTCCCGGTCCGACGTGACGCGATTCCAGTCCTTGCCCAAGGGCTTGGTCACTTTCACCAGGAAGCTCCGCACGCTGCTGGGCACGTCTTGCACCCAGGTCCGAGTCTGAGAGGACGGCCACAAAGGACGGCCAAGGGAGAGGACGAGAGGACGAAGAGACCCTCCCAGTCTGCACCAAGATCTATCAGTGGATGTGTGACTTGATGTGACGATGACTTGGATTTCGCCACATCTTGTGACGGAAGTGGTGAGTGACCTGATGTTTGATGTTACTTAGATGTTACACTCTGACGCACTAACATGGAAGTGGATGGCACCCCTTGTTGCTAGTAGCACAGGCGTCTTCCTTTCGGGACCATGCCATGCCACGTGTTCGTCCTCCGGTCGGGTCCACCGGTGGACCCGAATGGGAATCGAATAATTGGATGGTTAGTAACTAAGAAGCTACTATATAGTCACAAAGGGCACTAGTAGCAAACGGAGCCTTCAGAAGCTACTATATACTGGTAGCTCCTGGCATTACTACTAACAAGAAGCTACGAACGTTGTTCATCCCCCTGAGTGTCATAGAAAGCAACTGGAGCATTTATAGAGGATCTTAGAATCTTAGCCTTTGTTTCAGCTTTGATTCTTGAACACCTACTAACTAGGGTGCATTTCTTGTTGACTTTTGTTTCCCATCCAACTTTGGCACCAACTCCACACGCACTAAGTCACTGCATGCATCTGCATGCCGCAACAAACCGTCCACATGGTGCCCCACGGTGCCCCACCCACGTCACCACAACGATCAGCGACGGACGAAATTGCAAGAAAATGCACCCGATGCCCAAAACACGGACATCGCCATCACCAGACCGTTTGCCCAGCGACACGTCTTCGTGCTCGATCGAAATCTTGAGAAGAACGGTGGGATTCCACCGGGTCTTCCTGCCGCCCGCGAGCTCCGCGAGCGGGCACCATCCGAAGGGTCCACGAAAAGCGTACCGGCGGCGGGCCCATGGGGTCCGTGGAGTGTTCGATGTGATCGGGGGAGGATCGGGGTTGATCAGTAACGGCCGGATGGACGATGGCAGCAAGGCGTTGGTGCCAAGGCTGGTTCGACGGGAAAAACAGGTCCTGAGAGAAATCACATGTCCGCGTTTTTCTCATCACTTCTCATCCCATCCCTTTTTATTAGACATGACAAAGACATTTTTGAGTTCCACTCCGGACTTTCTTCCCTTTCTCGCCTTCCAAAAAGAACCTTCTTCACACATCGAAACCAAACAAATGAAGGAGCACGCCAGACCCTCACCCAGACCCTCACCCGGACCAGGTAGCGACGTCCCACGCCCTGCGACGTCCCACGCCCTGCGACGTAACAGCCCTGCGACGTAACGGCCCCTGCAACCCCTCCTGCGGCTTCAGCTTAGAGGATGACTTCGAAAGAGATAGATCGTTGAGCCCTCCCCGCGTGATCTCCGGCGGTTCCGGGTCGTTCGCCTCGCCTGGGGGTCGTCATGGGGCGGTCGAGCGGTGCGCGGTGACGACCCCCACCGCTACCCAAGGATGCACCGAATGATGGACGTTTGGAACGGATCAAAGACGCAAATCTAGGGCTTTTCACAAGACTCCGTGATGGGCAGCTCAAGCTGAAGCATGCTCTTTGAGGGTCTCAATGTCAAGCTTTCTCGTCCTGTCCTTCCCTTTATTGCCAGGTGTTCACCGTTCGGGGTCTCGTTGTCCTCCGATGTGTTGTCCGCCAAGTGGCCAAGATGATCTCCCGAGCAACACTGTGAGCGTGCGCCCACGTTGCCCATGGCTGGAGAGGACTAAGTTCTGACGTCAGGTGATTAGGCAACAAGTGACGAGAAGAAATTGTCTAGAGTCTGAAGATATAGAAATCCGTGACTGGTCTGCTTGCTCATTCTTTTTTCAGAGTGTGGGCATCTGGCCATCTGTGCCAGTCCAGATCTTTGTGTCCGGAGTCATGCTGGCCAACCTTTGAGTCCTACTGACTGACAAACTATGTTTGTAAGTCTTTGGTCTACAAGTGTTCAAAATTATCAAAACAAAGCTGCCCTTTCAGCAGCAACGCCTGCCACTACTGCACCCTGGCAGAGTGGTCTTGTGCCAGGACGGGGCAACAACAAGCGAAAGTGAAAATGAGAGGTTCTTATACCCACGGGGTGCGATAGGTCCCCTTTCCGACAGTCCCTACATCTCAAGTGGGACGAAATCCCAGGTGACCAAGACAGTCCCATAAATGTTCGAGAAACCTGGCGATGGCGCAATGCGGAAGAAGCGACTTGTGTAAGACAACAACAAAACCCTCAACCATCCCAATTCCATTACTCTTTTTTCCCTATCCAACCCTTGCCTTGCACTTTGATGAGCAACATATGCAAACACTATGTTTTTCTTAACATAAATAAACAAATAAACATAGAAAATAAATATATAAATAAGAAAACAACACATAAAAACTAGCGTGGTCTGAGCCAGGTCGCTAACCAAGGTGGCTAACTGCTGTCTACTGCTGCCAAATGCCTCCCCCTGTGAACTGTGGGGGTGCTCCACCGGCAAAGCACCACTGAAACAGTTCCTTTCGCACTCCTGGCCTCCTGTTCAGGGCCTGGAAAGCTTTGCAGATCCTCCCCACGTAGAAGGTGCCTGCACCATATCCACAGTGGGACATTTCGGACCCCATCCTAAAGTGCTTCGAAAGCCCAAACCGTCTTGACCAATCCGACCCCCACGTCACCCCCCTGAATCACCCCCATTAATTCCATACTTGACCGATCTGTTGAGGATGCTTCACTGGTCAGCGTTTTTCGTGCAGAACAGGTGCCATACAGTACAGGTGCTGGGTGACTGGTCACCCGGAGTGAACCGTCACCGCAGTGACCGCGGAGCTCGTGGATGGCGGTCCCATCACATCCCATCGGTCCACGTTCGCCAAGGAGGCCGCGTTGCGCGGCCCGACCGAAGGCGGGCGGTGTGACGATTTCGTGAATGAGGGATTGACCTCTGCAACGGAATTGGGACGTGACAGCCTGGTCTTCGGAGAAGCCGTCGACCGACTGACTTTTGATCGAATTCATTTCGGCCATGCTGGTGGCAATGCTGGCACTTGCGCAAGTATGAAGGTCCACAGGCGTGGACTCCCTGCGGCGGAATTCAACGTTTAACGATGTTTAACGATGTTTAACGTGGTCCCCACATAGACAGTGGCACGGTGTCAAAAACATGTCTATATTGAATTGGGGATCGACTTTCTATCTAGACATGGGGGTCAGTTCTTTTTTGAGCACTTTTTGGTTCCATGTGCTACCACCAATCGTCATTTCTTGGGCCTCGTCCTGTCACCTCACTGAGCCCCGAGCGCGGGCGTCCGCTCAGAGGTCATTCGTTCGGGTCCAAGTTCCCCGAAGTTCCCGGAAGCTCAAGATCAATTCCCAGACACTCCATGTATTGCGTATATTTGCGTATGGGATATTTACCATTATCTACCTACATTGACCCCCAGTCAACCACCCCTGGCCTGATCGGTAAATATACCAGTCCCATGTGTCGCGTCTGGGTTTGGAACAGCTGTGGAACAGCGACACGTAACAAGAAGCTACTATAGTAGCAAGGCACCTTACTACTAGTAACAAGAAGCTACTAGTAACAAGTGCCTTACTAGTAGTATCAAGAAGCTACTAGGAACAAGTGCATCGCTTCTAGTAACAAGTGCCTTACTAGTAGAGGCTCCGATCCAAACACCGTCCCGGGGGAGACCCGGCAGAGTGGTTGGGTCTCTGCCGACGACCGGAAAGGCGACAGAAAAGAACCAAGTGACCTAGACTCTTGATGACTTTTTGGGACACTCGGGGGTACGCAAATCACCCTAAAATGCTTGGCCCTTTAGTTGCACGAAGGAGAAGACTCGGAGAAGACTGACGCGAATGCGGAAGCGAATGAAAGGCCCGATCTTTCGAGTGCAGAGTCCCCGGTCGAACGCCGCCAGGGGACAAGGTGCCAGACTTGCGACACCATGCCGCCGCCTGGGTGGTGCGACGCTTGACATGTCTGGTGAGTCAACGGTTCATTGACCCGATGAGGTTCGAGCCTAGCCACCGGTCGGAAATACAGGAACCTCCAATCAACAGCCTAGGTGATGCCTATGGTGAGAAATGATCAACAGCCAGAAACAGACCCAAGGGCCCCTAGACGAGCAGTGCACAAGGGTCAACTACTCATGTCTTCTCATGTCTAGGTGATGGACAAAGAAGGATGGACGTGGTGGTCGCCCCGTTTGTATCCTAAACCAATCAGGGGGCGTCCCCAAACCACAGATTTCGTTCAATCCTATTGATTTGTCTAGAATCTTCGTAGTATCTCGCCAACAGTAATTAGTCTCTTAAACGTAAACTCTTGGCTTGATATCAGTCACCATCTAACTGTATTCTAACTGTCCATGAACATCTTGCTTTTCGTGGGTGCTTGTCCTTGTCCAAGGTGTTCTTTCTCGAAGCAGCTATGATAGATGCTACAGTCACATCACACATATTTTGCCGACGTATCACACATCTCATATCTATATATGCATCTTAGATCATCTTAGTCTGTAATCCTACGTATTTGTTCCGTGCTCGATCGTTTTGCTGGAAGCTATGAGCCGTCCTCAACTGCTCCTTCTGATTGACGGACAACCAGATCGACTAAAGTAAGTGCTAGTACGGTTTGGCACTTACTGAGAGAAAACATATGGCAAAAGTATACAATTAAACCGTTTCTAAGAGCAACGCTGTTTTTTCTTATGTGGGCTTTGCACGATCGAATTTGGTGCATTGACCTTCGTTTTCCAAGTGTTGCACGCCACAGATGCTGGAGGCTGTTTTCAGAGTTCTGCAACAAAACTTCAGGCATCATCGGCGGGCTTGCAACATGTGCCTTTTAATTCGATCATTTAAGCGGTCTCAAGTTCAGGGCTACTGGAGGAGGAGGAGAGGCAGATCATGAAGACACCTTGTCCCATCCGGGAGTTGGTGTTCCCGTTCCTGCTGTTCCTTTTGCATGTCAGCCTAACTGCCAGATGCTGCGAATCTGCCCTTCCAGCCAGCATCTTTTGTCAAGGTGTGTCTTCAGGATCTCCTGCTTCAGCACGTCGCTTCTTGGCAGGTTGAGGCGAACGGAGCGATCGGACGCTACGAACGGGGCTCCTGGCCTTACTACGAACGGAGCAAGGTTCGCTACGAACGGAACAAAGGGCATCGCTACGAACGGAGCAAGAGAGAACGGATAGAGCCAGAGCGATTCGGAAGATCGGACCTGTTAGAGAGCCACGCCTGCGATACATCACCGCTGTGCAAGAAAATGTGGACCTGCTGGAGACATGGTGATATTGTTGTTGGATGTTTTTGGATGAGTGTATGCTAGTTTTTCAGGAAACCGCAGTTCTTGCTAACCCAATGGAGCTAAGGTGTATGTGTGTATATATATATATATAAACGAATTGCTCATATACATCACAGCTTGTTTTGCATTGACCTAGCAAAAGTGCAAATGCAACCAAGCTTCTCTAGAAACGCATGTCCAGGATTTCTCTCCATTTCGGAAACATCGGGAAACCATTTCGGTTCCGGCCACCCCTCCAAGTTCGGTTCTGGCCATCTCCCCAAGCATATGTGACACACTTTTTGTCATTTATGCTTGATCTCTCCAAATAGCACTGAGAGCGGCTCCCTCCACTCCCTCCCGTCCCGATTTCGTGTTCGCGCGGCGGAAATCTCCAAGTTTCCCAGCCCCGCCGCTGCAAGGAATCAGAACGGTGTCTTCGACCTGGAGGGGCTGCGCGGATCGGGAATCCTCATGCACCCCTTCGAGTTCGAAGCCGTTGGAAACCAATGCGCGGATCGAAACGGAAACCTGGTTAGAGTCATTGGAAAGAGTCCTGTTTGCTGTCCTTATGAGTCCTTAAAGGGTGGCTGACAAGTCCTGTTTGAGGCTCCGATGTTTGGCTGATCAATTGGCCGGTTTGAAGAGTGGTGGACTAAAGGTCAGTTGAATCTACCAAGCGATCCCAAAAGGTAACGTTGAAATGAGACATCTGAAGCACCCTGAACCAAGAACAAAACAATAGGAAAAAAACTAGTGTGTTAACCATTGTTAACCACCCTTTTTGATCCTTCCTGGCATCTGGCAGTGTGAAAAAAACACCTTTGCGACAAAAAGATAACCATAACTGTCACACCCTTCAGCACCTATCGGGTCCAGGCCAAATGACAGCCATCATCTGACAGAAAACTTGGAAGGGAGGTGATTTTGGTTGGCCAGGTGAACGACCAAACCCGTTGGGACTTGGGAATCAGATATCCAAATGGGTTGGAGATATCCCATTCCCATTCCACAGTGGATAATTGTCTGGTTGCAGGCCTTTCTAAAAAGAATAAACATCACATATATATATATATATTACTTTTTGACTGTTACAGCATGTTACAGCTTAATTGGAACACGCCCAACCAATGGGTGTCGTCGCTGATGGCACCGATCAACGAGCCCTGGGCCGCCGGGCACCGGCGTGTTCGGAGTCGTTGGAGGAGCAGACGGGTGAAGCGCCTGGCGTCGGTGGGTTCCGACCCGTGGGAAACACGGGGTAGGCGCACGTGGAAAGGATGGAAGCCATGCCAAAAGGGCCCGCAGAAGTTCTTCGCGTGGCCAGAAACGTCAGGAGGTTTGGGTCCTTCATGGTCCTTCTTTTGGAGGTTTGGGATGGTTCCGCCGAGGATCTGGTCAACGCGCTTCCTGCTGGCGCTTGCCCCTTGCTTGCGGT